TCCCGGAAAATTTTCTACAGGTTTTTTTTTTTTTTTTTTTTTTTTTTTTCATTATTATTAAGTCTCGAGAAACTGGTCTTTTTGCTATTTCGCCAAATTACGTGTCCGCGAACTCAAGTAAAAACTAAACTTATCCATACCCTTGGACAAAATAAAATAAAATAGAAACCCCTCGTACCCCCTCCCCTTCGAAATATTGAAGGAGTGAAGCTGCGCGGATCGGAGGCCAAATCACGCTATTCAGTGAAATCCTTGATCAACATGGGGGAAGGCGGGTTCTTATTTTCCGCCTGTTATGTCCAAAACCGTGCTTTCGAGTATTCTTGGCAGAACAATCGAATAAAGTTTGATAAAAAGTCGTCGCAAGCTGTTTAAGCATACTAGTTTCTGTAGTTTCGTTTTGCATTATTATCCAGTCATTAGTCAAATACTCATACTGACAAATATTACTGCCTCTTTCAGGTTTTCTTTGCCAGGGCGCGAAACTATAGTTGTATCGCTAGCAAGACAGCATAAAGCTTTATCCTCTCTTGATTCTAGCTAAAAAAAGAACAATGTGTATTTGTTTATAAATGAGAGGAAGTTCAAAATATCAACAAAGATTATTGACATTTTCAAATTTTCTTTAAGTATGATCTTTAATTAGCTGTGAGGCGATTATTAATTCTATTGTTTTGGCTTCACAGTGGGAAACACAGAACATTCACCCTGCCTCAAGGCAAGAAAACATCTGGTCAACAGATATTGCGGACGGGAGAGGGGAGACGATTTTCCGGGGTCGCCGTCCAGGGGGTAATAGTTGATGTACGTTTGGGCATAGGGGTGCTACTTGAAACTATGTCCTACGGTAGTCCCACCCTTCCCTGGAAGAGGGATATCCAACTGTTTCTCCTCCATCGGAAGAAGGCTGCGTTTAAAACCCTGACAGTTGCTTAATCTGGCGTGCAAATGTTAGATAACAGAGTGGTGCAAAGCCTACCCCTCTGCTCCCTGTATTAAATCCTGCTCATTTTTCTTTGCGTCGTCCCTACTGAGACTAGTTTTAATACACAAAAAAACTGACGCGTATCCCCGGGGGCATGGCAAGCCGCAAGCCTTAGCGACCGAAATATGGGGGAAAATTTTTCCCCTATCTGACCCGGAAGCCATTGTTTAAATTCAGCCAAGCATGGACCGTTGACAGCTTGAAACCATACTTGAGGTGAAATGCGAATCTCCTTTCGTGACCTCCTACTGAAGCTTTATTCGACATATCTTTCAACGGATCATTTTAGCAGACAGTACAGAAATAATAAAGCTGAGCTGATGAGACGAACACAACTAAAGAAAAGAACCTGGTGAAATAAAAATCACTCCGAAACAGCGCACCACTCGGAAAACTTGTGGCGGTGTAGAGGAGTTTTGCACAAATTGTCTAACCGGGGATACCTCAGAATCAATATGCATTTATTTGCCACAAATGAACGAAGTGCAGCGATTTAAATAAATTTGATTGAATTTAAACTATAAATTTACATAATTTTCATTGTAGCTTTTTCTGGGGAGCAGAATTTTAAAGCGGGACTATTCCCTTTTTTTGAGAAAAGGCCGGTGAAGTTTTCTATTTCATCCTGTTCGCGGCGTAAAAAGGCTCTTATATTTTTCTTATAATACAAACTTGTAAGGTCACCTATATGATGTTCATTAATTATGACTGAAACTATTTATTTCGTTCAAAACGGACTTGCGAGCCATAACCAATAAAAACCAAGTTCCCTTGCACTAAGCGAAGGCGACACACCCGATCGCTTGCTTTTTCAGGCGACTCACCCAAAAGAGCACGTGCAGACGGAACTTTGGTCATTGTTTTGAATCCGAAGAATAAGTTCAATTGCGAATTTTACAGCGTCTAGTTGAAACGCAATTTTAGCAATCCCCAAACAAAATAAAAACATATTTGGCAAGACGTTTCAAAAACTACTTTTTCAAGCTTTCTAGGCCGCCTCGTTCTTTACAGAAAGATTCATTAAATAGACACGTTTTACAAAGTCTTCTTGCACCAGTTGCACTAAGCGAAGGCGACTCACCCGATCGCTCGCTTTTAATCAGGCGACACACCCAACATAAAAGGCACGTACAGAATACCCTGAACCATGTACATTTTATAAATCTGTTTTAGTTTCGGTGAATTAAAGCTCTCTGGCTGTTATTGAAAAGTAATAGAGACCGTACGCGTTCTTGCAATGGTGTTTTTTGAAAAACAAATAGGGGGGAACCGCGATGGACGCAACCAATCAACTAAAATTCATTTCGATTCCCCGGTAAAAATTATAGAACAGAAGAAGAAAGCTGCTAAGATTCAGAGACTTACAAATAACGAGCACCACTCAACCCCTCTCTGTAAAGTACATTTAGGACGGTAGGGGTATGGGTAACACGAGCATGTGTTTAATATTTTTAACACGTTTTAGTCACTCATTTCGTTGTTGATCAAAATAAAAAGCTTTTGTGCGGTTTATTCTTCGAATATCCCTTATTTATGGTTTTGTAGCACAATTTGCCACCAGTGGGAGTCAGTTGGCCTATCCGATATACTACTAGGTTCATAGGCAGTGAACGCATGCAACAATGCAATACTACGCATAGTTACAGACTACAAGATAATTTTCTCAATAATTCAAACAAATTAAAGATCTGAGCATGTAATGACAACTATAAATCGCACTGGATCATGATGTAGCATTTAAACTTCGGCAACAAGCAAAACAGCTGTAAAAAGATAAAATATGTAGCAATTTGGCCGCTAAGTGTGTACGTGTATTATGAAACACGGATGTCTACAATTTTCAACACATTCCATTGTTTATCCAGAAAATGTAGCACAAAATTAATAATAAAAAAGCTTCTCGACTTCTTTATAAGGGTACTTCTTGCAGTAACACAAAATTGCCTCCAGTGGAAGTTGTGCTGGGCCTGGTTTTTCCTAAACACTGTACGATCACTCCCGAGCGCGCCACATTAAATTTGGTGGGCATTTAGGAGGTTTTCGCGCGGATATGTTCGAGGCAGAAATAAATAAATTAAAGGAAAAGAATCGAACATTGTCCTTACCTTCAAGGCGTCTTACGATTAAGCAAGTCATAAAAAAAACAGAATTAATGTGTCGCAAGGTAAACCTACTGATTTAAGGCTGAAATGGCCTCGCTTCTGAACCAATGTGACGGAGGAAGGCTGGCCATCTCAGTTTGAACTCTGCTAACCTGTTCGATCTGTTAAAATTTTCTTTCAAATACCAACAAGCTTCTAAGGGAAATGAGTTTGAATCAACACAGAAATTCTCGACCGGGATACCGTAAAAAAGAATTCACATATATACTCCATACAATGATGGCTTGATCGGGATGATCAGATCTGGAGAATAGTTGAATAGACCGAGCTCGACTATATTTACCCCGGCTAATACTGTTTTAACCATATTACCAGACAGTTGCGAAATTTAGGATTGTTTCATTGCCTCTGTGAAAATCACTATCGATGACAGCCAGTCTGACCCCTGCTAACCTGCACGAGATCGGAGGTAAAATTATAACAGGAAATTGAGCATAGCAACCGTCACTCAACGTAATTAGTAAAGGGACTTTATGCGGCTCCTCATAGTACACCCAGGATTATTGGTGGGGGTGTGCTTTTCGATACTCCCAATCCTGACCCTATTTCAGAGCCAAAAATGTCATTTTTCATACCCGTTTTCAGCCCCCCTAAGAAATTATCTCTTCATTACTTATTTGGATCCAGACTTCGAGTCAGAACAGCAACAAAAAATATTTCTTAAAATCCATTTCGAATTTGCATATTTCTCTCTCTTTCTTACTCATATTTGAAATTTCGCTCGAAAACCATACTGAGCAAGTCTAGTCTGCCATTTATCTGTCGTTTATTTCAGGCATTTTAAAAGGTTTGTGTGCCGGGTAAAACGCACTTTGGACGTCACGCCTTTCTTGGCTCATATAGCGCTTGTTATGCAGGCTATCACAGACCTCTAACATCATCCAGTCTCAAGGTTAAAAGGTTATTTGATCTAACTGCAGGTCATGAAGGGTCTCAGGACAAAATCGAAGATGAAAATCATTTTTTTACTAGATTGTAAGGCTTATTCTCAGATCAGAGACATATTTTTCTCCAAACTAGAAACTAAAATACCTGACTTCAAATCACTTTCACACGATTAATATCTGCTTCTTATGAATTCTTCTGATCATTTAATCAACTGTCAGTTAGTTTCATTTATCTCGAAATGCTTTGAATTAAGAACCAAATTAATATCAATGAATGAATGAATGAATGAGAACTGTAACGTTTTGTGATGTTTTGCACGTACTAATTAGTTGAATTAGTACTTAAATTTAGACTAATAGCTTTTGCAATACTGTAATTCCTTTATGGTCATGCAAATAAAGCATTTGGTGCAGTGCCTCTTCCCTGCGAGCACTTTACGAGGTCATTCGTATGGCGTACGATCCCCACCAAAATTCATTGTTTGAATTTTAAATTCGTCATTTAAATTTCTACTTGAATTTTCCTTTCTCCCTCGCGCGCCTAAATTCCCCCTTCCCAATTCCCCTTTCCCTTTTAACGCCTTAAAATCTCCAAAACAAAGGACATGGATTACCAAATCCTTCTTTTTTGATGTTGGAAGTTCGTCTGCAAAATCTGATAAACTAGTCAGATCTTGGAAGCGACGACCGGAAATGCGTCTGCGGTTCGCAGGCTAGTCAGATCCCCACTATGATCAAGTTCACCGGGGTAGCTTGGATAGCCCCCCTCCCTCTCTCCCTCCATCCCCCCCGCTTCCATCCTCTCCCTAGGGAGCTTTTCTCATCCAACGCCACATATCACCTGTTGGTCACATGTCAGTCTCTTGACCAATCGCTGTTTTTCAGACGGCCCTGATCACTTCACAAGGTTAAAGTCGACCTCTTGTACAGTCATTCTATTGCAGCAGGGATACTGTAAGCTTCAACATGGTTAAGTTAGCTATTTTCTCCGTCTTTGCTCTTTGTGCTTTTAAATCGATCTCCTGTGAGCGTGTAGAATTCGGGGACTGTGGTGAGTCTGCTTTTGGTTTGCGTTCTGAGAAAAGCAAATTATTCCCGGCATATTCTATAAATTTGTAAACGTGAATTATTACCGTTCATGCATAGGCAAGTGTGTGGTTGTGAAACTCTTCCAGTTGAAGTTATGCAACAAGGGTCAATTTCTTGTCCGGCCACTGGCTTTTGCTTGCAATTTTAGCACTATCCCACTTCTTCGCAGAGGCCCAGTGGGTACTCCTTCCCACGACAAAAAAGAGGCCTTTGCATTCAGAACCCGAGACGGCAAAGGTAGTTGCCAATAAGACAAACCTCACTTATTATATCATGAAATTTTCTTTACCTAGGAAGTAAAATGTCTACTTTGAAGGAAGTTGACATCACACCTTGCCCCCAAGCAGCTGAGAAGAAGCCTTGCGAACTGAAGAGAGGGACGGAGGAGACCATTGAAGTAAAGTTCACACCGAGTAAGAATTGTTTACTCTTTTTTTCCCTTTTTTCAGAGGACCGTGTTTACCAAAAATGTTTTGCAAACCGGTGTGTTTTAGCCTGCACGTAGCACGCACTTGGAGAAAGTACGGGGCGCGCGAGGGAAACACGTGAGGCGTGACTCTCTCGTGCGTCTTTTACCCACTCTTTCAAAGCAATAAAAACTATTTTTCTTCTAATGAACCCCACAACCCTTCGCCTTCCTCGTTTTAAAATTGTATTAAAATTCAAATAATATTTCTGGGAAAGAGAGGATGTGATCCTTCTTTCTGGATCAAGGATAAAAGGTAAGTCAACTATGAATCCCTATCAGTCATCTCTTCTCATACTTGCTCTAGCCAGGAAAGTAATCTTGAAAAACATGACATCGAAAAGTCCCTCAATGAGAATACAAATGAGGACCAGCTTTCTTAATTGGTAGTTTTAAGACAACACAAGAGTTGAAGTTGAAAAAAAGTCCGCACGTTGGGTTTTACTACTGTTATTATCATTTTTCTTTAATTTTTTGTTTTCAAGCACAAGCCTAGCTTGCGAACAGCAGACGTATTTCCGGTCGTCGCTTCTCTCCGCGACGACCGGAAATACGTCTGCTGTTCGCAGGCTAGCACAAGCCAGTTTCATACTGGTTAGTGAAAGCCGCGGAAATGCTCAATTAAAAAGTTAACGCCAGCGGAGTATTATTAACTGTTTTCCTTTGATTCCAACGTAACTTTAGGATTTTTAATAATAGAAAAAGCGGGACAAGGCTGATCTGCGGAATTTGTGCTACAGTCTCATTCCAATTCGCGGTAAAACTGATCTAATTTTGTCCGTGAAAGTACAATGGGATTGCTCGCTCTGGGTTATGGGCAGGGTTCTTATCTGGGTGGGGGCTTAAGGTACGGTAAAACGGCCAATAAAAAAAGGGCAACTTGTTTTGCGACTCTGCTTCAAAACGAGTTGAATAGCGATGTTGCCCGTTTTACCACCCGCGAAATAAAACTATGCAACCTTAGCTGTTGCAAGAAAGGTTCGAACGTGTAAACGCGCAATATCGCTATTCAATTCGTTTTGCAGTAATGTTGTAAAACAAGTTGCACGTTTTTTGTTGCCCGTTTTATTGTAGCTTTACATGCAGTGTGTTGTTTTGTTTCTTGCAGAGGAAAATATCACTGCAGCTACTACTAAAGTTTATGGTACAGTCGCGGGTATCAAGGTGCCTTTCCAGATAGACAATCCTAACGCATGTGAAGATCAGGGCATCACCTGTCCCATGATTGCCGGAAAAGACTACACATTCAAGACTGTGCTACCAATCAAGTCGATCTACCCTAGCGTATGTATTCTTGAAATCCTGGCTTCTAGTCAACAAACGACCCTGGTTCCGAAGTCGTCCTCGGCGATTTCGGTACGCGCTCGATTCAACCTCGTCCCCAGGGCGCTTTTCTGGAGCGCCCTGGGGACGAGGTTGCGCTCGATTCCAAGCATCCTCTGCTGTTCAATCTGATAGCGGGAACGAAATCGCCTGGGGACGAGGCTGCAAATGTTTAGCTGAGCCTCATATATCAAACATAAACTCTACAAAAGGGCCAATATGCAGGACCTCATCAATCTTCCCCAATTTCATTGCCGTAACGCACCTTTGTGAGCAAAATGCTTTGCATTGTACCTTTCTGGGAGTGAAAAATTCCGTCAATTTAAATGCAATGGGAATTCATTGCTCTAAAGCCTCCAGAACGAGACATGGCGGTGAAGTTAGATGAGGCTTATTAGCGGGTGTGACGTAAACATGCATTGTAGTAGCCCGAGTATCAGGCCTTCCTAAGGGGCTAGGGGAGAGGAGATTTTAGATGGGGGGGGGGGGGGAGAAGAGAAGGAAGTTTCTCTCCTTCAGCTCTCTTCCTTTTTCGCTTCCATCTTTCCCCTTTTCCCCCAGAAACGTCTGATACTCAGGCTTGCATCGTAGCAATGTGTTGCGCTTTATACGCCGGACGATTACTCGCCCTTATTAACCTTAATTTTCGTCGGGCATTAGACCTTTTACGGGCGAGCGTCGCTCGTGGGGAGAAACGCGCGCGTGACCAAACCCGAAGAAGGTCGGCGCGAGGGGAGCTTTCTTAACGGCCCTCGCTATATGGCCCCAGTAGCAGTCACGGGTCTATTAATATGTGACTTTATTTGCTCTGTTTAGGTCGACGTTATAGTCCAGTGGGAGATGCGAGACCAGGACAAAAATTTGGTTTACTGTTGGATTTTGACGGCCCATGTGAGTGGCTAAGTCACTAACTTATGATGACTGACGTGACTATGAATGTGTAACGTTATGATTGTATGACTCAGAGATGGAATGTTTTTTATCTCACTTCATTTGTTGAAATAGGATATGTCGTCTTACAAAAATAAAGTCACTGAATTCAGTTTCTTAGTATTTTTGTTTATTGATTTCTTCACATTATAGTAGACTTGAAGTGCCATTCTTCACAAGCTGGGATATTTTCACCGCTTAACTTGTATGGTAACCCAAGACAGTATTTCCAATGGGGTGAATCCGACCGACGGATTTTAAATCTTAAAACGGATTTCGCGTTCCTTTCCGCAAATCCAAATCTGGATTCTTCATCAGGTGAATCCTTTAAGGATTCATTGGATTTGAGTTCCAAAGAATCTGAATCCAAATTAACGGATTAGTGATCTACGCTGTTCCATTCACGGTGAATCCGAAACCCGGGGGGGGGTACTCGCAGAAAAATTGGGTAGGGGTGTGCGGCCCGCTTCCCAAAACCCTTACCCTATTTATGACCAAAATCTGCGATTTTCCCTACCCTATTTATGACCTGACCAAAAATTTGATACCCTATTTTGTGAAGGGCTTTTTTTGCTTGTATTTTCTAGCCTACAAAGCACCCGGTGGAGAGGAAGGCAAAGCGTGGATGGAAGGAGGGGGACATGATAAGGAAGTAGCTTCTTCTAAAAAAGTGCATTCAAGACTACAGTGCAAAAATCGTTACCCTATTTATGAACAAAATGGCGGCAAAATAGCCAAAATCGATACCCAATTTATGACCAAAACGGCTGAAAAACCATACCCTTTGGGGCCGCACATACCTATATAGCCCATATTAGGGAGTGCCCCCCCCGGGATCCGAAATTAGTCAGATGATCCAGTGGTATTTCTACTTGAAGTATTGCGCCGAAGAGTTTCCTAGTTGAATTGCCGCTATTTGCCCTTAAACACATCTGAAAACACTGGAAGATTGCTCGTGGTACAGTAAAATATCCAAATGCTAACCATTATATTTGTAAGTAAAAGCAGGGCTCCTGGTAAAAGCGACAAATGAATTGCTATCTTTCAACAACTAACTCGCTTGTAGACGTGATAGGCACTAGATCGTGTTACATAGAAAAAGTCTGAGCTACGAAACTGGATAAAACTGAGCCGACAACCTTTAGATAATTGTCAACTTGAACGCCCTTCTTTCTTGATCTCCATCGTCGCTATTCGTATTACTGATTGCCGACCAGAAAATTCTGCACCGTATAATCGCTTAATTTGTCAAACAGTGCAAAACGCGCCATTTCCTGAGAGGCTGTCATGCATATGTACGCGTTTGCGAAAGGTTGCCAAGGTTAAAAATACAATTGCGGATTTCGCGTTCCTTTCGACCGAGAAATCGGGCAAACCTAGAATCAAAAATCGGTTTTTGGATTAACCGAAAGGAGCACAACCAAAAAAAAAATTTCTTGATTCCACGCTGTGGATTCCGAATAGGCTAGATTCCATCGTTAGCGGGATGCCGTGGAATTCTTAGATTCCAAAGTCCAGGATTCTGGATTCCACTAGTAAAATTTCCTCGATTCTGGATTCCAAAATCAAAGATTTCCTGTTCCGGAATACATGTAGCTTACGTGGGCGAATTGTTTCAAGTTCAGCTCCACAGCCAGGCTTGTAAACAGCCAACTCATCATCGTTTGCCTCCTGCCAGTTTTGGTTTTGCTTCAGAGGCACTTTCCATAGAACATTTTTGAACATTAAAACTGTAAAACTAGGCATTGAGAAAATTGTAGCGGATCTTGCGCGCGCGTTTGAAACAGCACTCTCGAATTGTCATAATCTGGATTAGGTAAGAATTTCCCCTCACCACATCTCATTGATCTGATTTATTAAATTTTATTTTTCTTACCTCTTTAGTCACAAGGCCATGATAGTTCTTTCCCCGCCCCTCCCATTTTCGAACGAATGAAGCCATGGGAACGATCACATTTTTGTTACCATTCCCCTCACATCCGTCGAGGCTCGCCTCACTCACAGGCCCTATAGTGGAGGTGCAGGATCATGTCGAAAATTAAACAGATGCGTTGTATTGTTTTCCTTCTGTTATTTAATGAGTTACAAAATTAGTAACAGCTGCTTTTCTGCAATCCGGCCTTTAAGTGCGACTCTAGCTTTTAAGATAATATGACGAAAAGTGTAAAATCTTAGACAGAATAAAATGGTAAACCAAAACCCTCCATTCCGTAGAAATCAATTAAGGAAGAAGCGTCGCAAAGGCTAGTCTGTTACACAGCCGTTTTTAGTGTCGTCACGCAACGGTCTTCCCGTCACGACACTAAAAACTGCTGTGTAGCATGTAGTAGACTACGCAAAGGCTTTCCCTTCCTTGATTTGGGGTGGGAAAGGGGAATTTAACTTTTGCGTCGATAGTTTACTTGTACGATAGGTTCCCCTCCTGCCTTCTCTCCACTTTCCTATGCAAAACATCGACTATTGCTCTCGACCAATCAGCGCGCGAGAAATCGGTTTTTTTCGTCACGCAATGTATTGTTTCCTTGACCATCACGCGATATACAAATCATGTGATGTCTGGTGATGTCTGGTGACTTTTCAGCAACGTGCAAAGTTACGGACTCAAGATGGCGAAGTTAGGTGTTCTTGCTGTCATTTCGCTGTGCAGTATTGTCCTTGCATCTTGTGAACCTGTCAAATTTAAGGATTGTGGTAAGTGATCGGTTCGTTATTGTTAACCAGTGTTCGATTAATAAAGAGCCAGATATAGAGCGAACTTTTTTATTCGCTACTACCAATAAGATAGGATTCGACTGGAGTTTCGCTTTTCTTGCAATTTTTGTTTTTGTTTGCCAAAAAGGTACCCGACCAAAGGCTGTTTAAAGGAAAAAACACTTTTGATACCAGTAACTTACAATACTTAATTTAACAGGGTTCTGTCTAGGCTATTTTGGGGGTAGAAGCTTCCACCCAAAGAATATAAAGTTCTTTTCCAGGCGGGGAACTCTGGGTTTCAAGTGCCCGGAATGATCGAAGGATTTTGGGGTTTGAAATTTTCGATTCTGGGATTTTTTTGGGAAGGAAAATTTTGGCAAGTATTTTTGGGGGGAGCTTGATTTAAGTAGGGATTTTTATGGGTATTCAAAACTAATGTTTCTATTTTTCGTGTTATATCGTTTAATGCTTTCTGGAAATTTTTATGGCTGGGAAATTTGGCAACACACAGCTACAACACACATGTACATTTAACATCAAGCGCTGTAGATCTGCACTAAATATCAAAAAGCGAAAAAAGGCAGTAGTGTTAGGTTGCATTATTGTACTTCACCAGCAGCAGTTGGCAAAAAGTGGTTGTCACTTTGCAAAAATGGTCGTCATAAGGAGCAACTTTTTAGAAAATTGGGTGATTCCAGAAAATATCCATACCATACCACGGGCGGCATCTTGGAATTCCGAGGGAGAGGGGGGGTTTCTTGGACTGGAATTCCGAAGACGTGGGGGGGGTAACGCAGTTTGGAATTCCAAAGGCATGGGGGGATGTTTCAGCTCTGAATTCAGTGAATTTCCAGAGGAAAGACGGCGAAAGCTCCGCTTGAAGTCGCTGACCTGTTAACATTCCCAGTTTGTAAATGAAGCACGAACCGACCACGGAAGAAGTATGCGTTCATGCAGATGGGTTGTGCAGATGGGTTGTGCAGCAAGCTCCACATCGAAGAGGCCTTAAAGTTGATGAATTACTCAACTGATTAATAAAAATATAACCAAGTCGGTGTTTCTCGCCGATTGTCGATCGACGATGTGTTGTTGCGTGCTGAAAACTCGCACCAGTCTCTCGTTTCCAAATAGAACGCCTGACAGATTTTGCATTTCACGCCGATTTTCACGCCAACATGTAGCAAGGGAGGAACTAACCAAGGGAGGAACTACGCACTCCAGTCAAAAGACTCACACTATCTTTAGAAAAACACTAAGCTGGAGTTTACTGAGTCACAATTCAATTCTCCATAGTAAGTTTATGTAGCTTCAGTTTAAGCTGCAGTTCACTCTTATAATATTGGATCTGTAAGTCACTATCCGTGATAACTTAACATTCTGCAAAGAAAACTGACGAACTGGGCCCAGCATGATACAGCATTGCAGAAAAACATTACACTCACGGACTAAAGAAAATCGCTTAGTTATTCAGATCCAGAAGGCACTTTGGAGAAAATTGAAACCCTTATTCAGCCGTAATAAAAAAGCTTTACGCTTCAAAAGAGGTCTAAGAAAATGCGCTTAATGCATCAGAAGGCAAATCCTGCCGACCAGAAAACAATAACTACTGTCAATTGATATGTATGTCATGACCTCTCAGTGTGAAACATGCGGCTAAAATCACATTTGCTCAGTATAAATGCAGAACCTTCCAGAGCATAATCTACCCAGCAGATAAAAACAACTTTATTGGAATAAGCAGCATTTTGGCATGAGGTAAAAGTCATGTAGGCCTACCACCCTCTTTTATTGCTAATTCTTTTGCAGAGGGAAAAAGTGCAAGTTTCTCGTTCGTTTGAAGATTTAGGCAGACGAACAGGAATTCCAAAGGGTCTGAAACAAAAGTGGAAAATTCCGGAGGAGAAGGGGGGGTTAGCGATTTTGGAATTCGGAGGGCAAGGGGGGGATAAGCATTTTGGAATTTCCGAGGGCAAGGGGGGGTTATAATACTCATGCCACCCGTGGTAGGGTATGGATATTTTCTGGAATCACCCATTCTGGCAACTTCGGGTAGCTTTTAAAGAATTTTGGGGCAACTTTTAAGAAAATTAGGAGCAACTTGTGGCTGAAGCTACCTCCCGGGCGGTAATACTCAAATTTCCTCTTATGACAACCATATCATTCCAAGGGCATAGCTTGAGATTTTTTTAAGGTGTACGCACGGGAAGAAAATATAGGGGAGTCTGGGAGCATGTTCCCCCAGAAAAATTTTAAATATTAGGGTCTTGGAAATGCAATCTCCAGCATTTTCCGCAGGAGATTTTCGGTAAATAACAACTAAAGAAAATACCTCAATTATTTGTTTATTTGACCTATCTCTAGTGTTATCAGTAAGGTACAGTGTTAATTGAAAAAAGGGTAAAACAGTGACGTCATCAAGGAGTTTACAAGCAAAGGATGAGACATGTACCCTTCACAACACCATCTATATCAATAATTGATATAATAATTATTATTAGTTAATTATTAACGTCCTTGTGCTTGTGTAGGAGCAGAATTGCAAGAGAACTCAATCTCTCGTCTGTCAATAATTTGATTTATTTCTCTAGAAATAAATCGTTTCTGGAAGTCCTTTTGGGTGGTGTCAGAATTTAAAAAACGCTAGTTTGTCGAGACTCAGTTTTGGCGTTTTAAAACTCGATTCGTTTGAGTCTCGGGCGTTCTTCCAGTTTTGTCTCGTCACGCAATGCTCCTTAGCGTAGTGTGACGGGTCAAAAATGACACTCAGGTTTCGAGAAGCGTGTATCAAATTTCAAGGATCTGGTCAAGACTGTCAACTCGATAGGGGCATTCTGGTGAACTAATTAAAACCAGGTTTAGATACAGGGTTGAGGGTTCTGTTCTTGAAATACGTGTACAATGGAGTAAAAAACCTCTCTCGTGGCTTGGGCTCCTAACTTTTTATTTTAGGAGCCCAAAGGGCTCTCAAAAAAATTTCTTCTGCTGCAGCCTTGAGTCATCCCGATTTAATGATAAATGAAAATAATTTCAGGAAATAATAAAACAGATTGTTTCCAGATTTCAGCTGTATGCACTGGCGTATGTACATAGACACAATTTGCCCCTGCATTACCACCACTTTGAACAGTGGAGGAGTTAAAATGTGGCTTCTTGAAAAAAAAAATTTTTATCTTTAACACTAGCACTGGCTTGAGAGTAAAACAATTATTATTAATGATTTGCTGTGTTGGCAGGTTCAAAAGAATCAAAGCTTGAGGAAGTTGATATCACACCGTGCCCTGCACAGCCCTGTCAAATGAAGAGAGGGACCAATGCGACGGTTGAAGTAAAGTTCATTCCTAGTAAGTGAACTTTTGCAAAACTTTCCCATGGAGCTGTTCTTTCTGTTACCCTAATCACTCTCCTCAGAGATGCTGATCTTAAGAGGTCTAAAATTTGAAAACTCTCTCTTTTGAATCACCCCCCCCCCTCCTCCTTCCACTATGAACACAAATTGAACCATCCTTGGAGACCTAGGGGCAGATAGTTGGGGCGAGGGAAAGTCTAAACGGGCGGAAAAATAAGGCGCGAAGAAAAGTAAAGAACGGCAAGCTTTACTTTTCTTCGCGCCTTATTTTTCCGCCCGTTTAGACTTTCCCTCGCTCCCACTTTCTGCCCCTGGGTCTCTGAGGATGAAATTGAACCAGTCCCAAAATAGATTCTGCAACAGTTTTTTTCAAGTTTTGATAAAGACTAGTGAGTGAAAATCCATTGAGACGGTTGGAAAGAACACTTTACAATAGTAAAATTGCCAAGTTTAAAGGGGAAATGCCTAAGTGAGGGAAAATATTGCTCTACAAAGACACAAAATTTTACAGACAATTTTATGGTGGGGGCAAGAAATGCCCACCCCCAACCCCCACCATGCAAACATCTGTAAAATGTTGTGACTTTGCAGAGCTATATCTTTGTTAGTTTTGGGTCTTCTGATCATGACTATATTATTTTTCCTAAACTGTTGCAGATGAGATCATTTCAAAAGCAAAAACTGTTGTTTATGGTATTATCGGTGGAAGAGAAATTCCCTTTCCAGGCGTCAGAGAAGATGCTTGCCAGGATCAAGGCCTGACCTGCCCATTAAAACCTGGAACAGAAAACACATTCAAAACAGTGCTACCAGTCAAGCCTTTCTACCCAAAAGTAAGTGCATCGTCATGAATTTTGATGAGCAGGATTGATTACAGTTCTTCTGTAACTGGAATTCCCAAAACACTTGGTTAGCTCAGTTAGATATTAGCACCAGTCTGCTGAGCAGGAAGTCCCATGTTCAAACCCTGGCCAGACCAACACTGAAGAGGGTCTTTAAATAGTTTAGAAGAGTGAGCCTTAGCTCCTGTCTCACAACAGTTTCACCTATCTGGTTCTTGTCAAACGTAAAAGAACCCACACCACTGTTCGAAAAGAGTAGGAGATGTAGACCCCAGTGGTGTGGCGTACCTCACTTTCCTGGGCCTGCTGGGTTTTCTGTAAGGAGAGATCTTTATATAGGGATAACCTCATGACTGTCCTTCAGGTGTCATACCTGCAACATTGTATGTAATAACAGATCATTATACGCTTCTGGGAAACTGCCCACCTACCCCTCCCCTAAGCCAACAGTAACACTTACTTGTCAATTATAGGGCAAATTATGTTGGTTTAGGGGAGGGGTAGGTGGGCAGTTTCCCAGAGAGGTATAATGATCCATTAGGTAATAACTTAACTCGCCCATTGGGCTCAGTTGGTAGAGAGGTTGACTGTAGAGCAGGAGAGGTAGCAGGTTGGAATCCCAGGGCCAGATCAAACTTGGGGTCTTTTATTATAATAATAAGGAGGTACTGCCTTTGCCCTGCAAATATGGCCCTGAGACCTTCGCATGCAGGCTCAGGTGACCACATGAAATGGTGGTCCTGTTTCCAGTGAGAGACGTTTAAAAACAGTACAGTTCTGTGTAAATACATTTTGATTGCTTTCTTTTTTTAGATAAATTTATCAATAACATTATTTTTTACTGACAGGCACGTTTTCATGTTGGTTGCAACAACTGTCATTTTGGAAGGGATGAGAAAAAATAGAAAATGGAAAAATAATATATATAAATAACGTTATGTAAGCTATTCTTTGTATCAAATTGTTTTTGTATGTTTTTTTTTTGTCAGATTATAGTTGATGTAAAATGGGAGTTGCAAGATCAAGATACGAACATGGTTTATTGCTTTGAGTTGCCAGTGCAGATTGTTTAACAAAGGTGTTTTACCTTCTTTTTCTTAAGGCCCACATAAAATGTTGTACTTCACATGAGCTCAACCTAATTATTCTAATGAGCAAAAGCTATTGTTTTTGTTCATTAGAATTAGGTTCAAATTTTGACTGAGGGCCTTACCGTGTTTCCTCATGCTCACAAGCTTGCTTGCTCCCAAGAATAATTTTCTATAACAGTCTTGTGGAATGTCACAACAAGCACACAGGTACTTTAAAAACATTAAGAAAAATGACTCAATGTTGCTATTATCATTGATCATTAAGTTAAGTTTACCTAATTTTTTATATGTAGCCTGTAAGCAAGCACTCCATTTTGAGTGGTAAACAAAGTGAAACACACAAGAATGCTTAAGCTAGCAGTGAAACCACAAGGAATGCAAGAAAAAGGAAAGGATTTGGAAGGAAAGGAAAAGCACAAAAAAGAATGCAGGAGGAAAGGGCTGATTTTCCTTTTCCATCACTCTCGCATATTCTTTCGTGTGCCACTCCCACACTCTCACTGACAATATTCCTCAAAATTAATGTAGATCTTGCTTGCAGGCCAGTAAAAATGATGCACTTTCAGGTGGCATTTATTAGAGAGCTTTAGATTCTAAGACAAGGACGACTAGGAGTAGTTTCAGAGTAGTTTCATCAATACTAGCTATGTAAGTACTGCTCACGTGTGTTTTTGGCAGGAAAACGTGACAGTAGTTAGGCATTCTACTTCGAGTTTTAGCGAGAATGTCATAGTGTCATAGTGAAACAAGTTTTAAAATGTTAGAAGTTTTATCATTGCAATCAGGAGAGGGCTTAACCTCCTTCAATAAAGATATCAGTGCTAAATCTTTGGGTGAAAAAAGTGCAGTGATCGAAGCATCCCGGGAATTCTAGTTTTTGAGAATACCCAAGAAAAACTTTAAGTCAAATCTCATACTCATAGTTGTCCTCGTCCTCAAATCTAAAGCTCTCTATTATTGAACTAAAATAAAATTGTACAATTTTTTGTTGGCTTATAGCAAAAAATAAACTGAAACAGTGACAAAGATATGGTTTTCACTGACTAGCTTAACCTATCATAAGTTTTCTATACCTAGTTCGGCTAGTGGCTATTTATTTACTGTGTCTAAAAAAGTCTTGTCCGGTCATCGGGGAAACACGATTTTTCTGCTGGGCAAGTAACTTTTCATGCTTGCTTGTCCAATGGTATAAAAAGCGTCCCACGTAGACCTTCTCAGGGGTTCGTCACGCGTTCCTGCCCCACTTACGTCTGCTAAACTGAAAGATAAATTCCTTTCCCATTGTTCGCAAATATCAGCTGGAGATAACGTGCAGATTATCAGGGATCCAATCGGCGATGTTGAAATCAAAGTGTTGACAAGCCAAACACATAAGTACAAGCTAGGCAGAGTGTGATATGTGACCAAAGATTTTTTGTTCCGGACAAGAATCTAGGAGATAAAGCACTGCATTGGCTTTTTGTATAATTCTCTCAGTAAAGGAGCTGGATTAGATGTCGTTTGCTCATAAAGTTGATCTTTGGGTGATGCAGCGACAGGGTTACCGTGTAACTGAACAAAAGGCAGAATTTTTTTCACACTTTATTGTTTTGTAGTAAAGCCGACTTCCGTTCAGCAAGTTCAACCTCCAAGGTAATTTTAATTTAATGAGATTGTGAGGGTAGCCTTTAGTACAAACGCTTGTGAGTTAACTGATTAGTTTGTTCTACTGTAAGATCTTCACCTTTTTTCATGAGACCTTTCTGATCTTTTCTGGAGCTAATATGTCAAGTGCGACATTTAGCAAGGTCCAATGTGCGCTTGCCAGATCTGGAAGTCTGCTGTGATTGGTCTACGTTTTTTCCGCTCAAATTAGCAGACTTAGGAACGCGTGATGAACCCCAAAGAACGTCTGTGAGGCTAGCCCAATGGGCAAGGACCAGGCCTCCCAGTCAATTTCTTACTCAATCATACTTATCAAGACACATGTTCAATATGGACGAGCATGCAAAATGTGAGAACAGCTTGTCTGAATGGCAAGCTGGAATACTGAAGATTTTTTTTACGCCTTGTATACATGTACCCGTGGGCGAAGAGAGAGACACAGGGAGCAAAGTTCTTGTCTAGGCAACCTGGATTAACATATCTGGCCTCAAATGATCAAAGGTTGGATAACCGTATCCACTGGATAAATCTCTATCCAATGGATAACGCAATTATTGGTTTCCCTTATTGACTGGGTAGTGGTTTTTCCGGTGGATAGCGCTGTCCAGTTTGTGCACAAACAGGGCCAGCAGTTTGAAGTGTTTAGCACTTCACCATCGTGCCTCCACTCCCAGCCCCACTCCCACAAGTAACCCTGTAATCCTTGGCTCGTGCGCATACTGCAAATTGCCACTTATAAGTCCACCCCAAGTTATAGGTCGATCTACCTGTAAACAAAATAGGAGAGTGAAATTTCCCTTTATAACGAACCCCTATTCAGCCGACACCTCTATTAAGCAGACACAGACACTAACATAAGTTGTACTTGGCTAATTTCTATTGTTAAAAACCTCTATTGAGTGGACACCGGACTGAATTGACAATACTAATATTGGATTACGTCCTTGAAATACGAACTGTAGTCAATTAATAAGGATCAGTAAATCAATATATATCGCTGTCAATAAACTGTAGATTAGACTGATATCCAGCCGTATGATTGTCATCCGCCATCAAAGTTCACCTAAAAGTTCTTTGGAACTTTATCACAAACAATGCGCAATTTTTACAAACTCTATTATGCAGACACCGTTAAGCAGACACTTGGGAAGGTCCCGAAGGTGTCCACTTAATACAGGTTTCACTATAATAAATCCGAATATAAGCCCTAAAGGTAAAGCAACCATAATATTTTAAGTCGATAACTCGTAACAGTAATAACTGACAAACTTGAGGTCAACAGCACACTCATTTACCCCCCCTCCATCAATGCTCCGTTTTAAGGGTATTTCAAGCCAGTCAAAGCTTCACAGAAAGGAGAGTACTTGAGACAAGGATGGCATGTCACTGGGGATCGAACTCGGGACCTCGCACCGCAGGCTGCGCACTAACTAACTGTATGGTACCACCCTTTTTCCTTTTATCTCATTTTATTATTAATAATAAAAATTGCTCCTTTTTTCAACTAAACTGACCATTTATTCTTTTCAATGAACAGAGACATGTACAATCTCACAAGTCCTCTCCTAGTGTTCCCTGGAGTCCAACTCTAGCACTAAAAAATTTTTCACCATATTTTATTATGTTATTGAAGATTCACGGGTAGTGTACATTCTTGGCGCCAACAGTGTCAGGTCTTGACAGCCTGTGTAGCCTGCGTAGCTGGCGGTATACGTAGTCGTGTGAGATTAGATAGCGAAGCCGCCACGAACGGTGTAAGCTGCGAGAAATAGTTAATACCAAACACGTCGTCCCCACTCCCTTTTTTAGATTTTGGCTCCGCCGCCAAACCTTTAATCGCGCACCGAGACAATACCGCCAGCTACGCAGGCTGCAGCCTGAGCAGCACTCTCTTTCTAAAACTTGGACCAAGGCCAAGTTTATACGACTCCTAAAACTTTAACTTTTCTTGGACAACCCCAGAATATTCCTTGAAAATTCTGTTTGAGCAAAGCTTTTGGCTTGAAATCTTTTTTTTTTCTCTTTTTTCTTTTTTTGGTTTAAATTCCGCCGAGCAGTGCCACTCAAGTAAACATGTAGAGTAGCATATACTTTTGAACCCTACTTAATACAGACACCTCATTATTACAGACAATTTTATTTGTCCCTGGGAAAAGCCCATACATTTTCTCTTAAGTCAACTTGCTTGATACAGACAACCGTTGATGTGGACAACGGGCACTTGTTTCTTGCCCAATCAACAGATTCTCATAGAAAGTCAACCTCGCTAATGCATACACTTCACTAAGTGCTACTTGCTGTAACAGACCTTTCCTTTTTGAAGCCTTCAATTGACAGCGTGTCAATGTTCTTAGCGCTACAGTACACTGCATAGGATGATTTGTGGACATCAATTATTTCAACAAACTATTTTTGCATCAAATGAGTTATGCAGAGACCATACAGTGTTGATAAAGTAATGTATGGGTGAGCGATTTTTGATTATTAGTTTTTTGTTCTAATAATATTAAAGGTGTTTTTTAACTTTTTAAAATACCATGACCCACTTAATATGGACACTCTATGGTCCCTTCAGGGTCCACATTAACACTCTCTCTCTCACTCTAACCATTCTCAAACTGACATCCAGTTTGAATCCCACTAGAGAAAATTCATTCTTCACGTGACTCAATTCGTAAGGCCAGGGAGTCGCATTTGATAGATAAGGCCATGACTCTTGAACCTCATGGCCTAAACCGCCGTGACGAAGTAATCCATATCCTTAGTATTTTTCCTTTCCAGTTTTTATGTTGTACGTCATTTCCGCCTCTCCCTTTTATTGCGACATTCTCCATTTATCTAATATTGTGATTGCTACATAAGTTTGGTAACATCTGTAAACCTGAAGAAGGCTGGTATGGCCAGCCGAAACATTGTTATAAAAAACAATATACGTTGTTTTAAATCAGCTTTGCAGTAGTCTTTGGACTTCTTGTTCTTGGTTCTAAGTGCGACTCTAGCTTTTAAGAAAGTATGAAGAAAAGTGTAAAATCTTAGACAGAATAAAATGGTAAACCAAAACCCCCCATTCCGTCGAAATCAATTAAGGAAGAAGCGTCGCAAAGGCTAGTCTGCTACGCCAAGCCGTTTTTAGTGTCGTCACGCAACGGTCCTCCCGTTGCGTTGCGTGATGACACTAAAAACTGCTGTGTAGCAGGCTACGCAAAGGCTTTCCCTTCCTTGATTTGGGGTGGGGGAGGGGGATCTAACTTTTGCGTCGATAGTTTACTTGTACAATAGGTTCCCCTCCAGCCTTCCCCCCACTTTCCTAAGCAACTCATCAACTATAGCTCTCGACCAATCAGCGCGCGAGAAATCCGTTTTTTTTTTCTGCCACGCAGTGTATTGTTTCCTTGACCATCACGCGATATACAAATCATGTGATGTCTCCCTGGTGATGTCTGGCGACTTTTCAGCAACGTGCAAACAGACTCAAGATTAGGGTCTGCCGGATTATGCTGGCATAATTTTGAGCATAATACTACATCTGGAGTATCAGGCATAATGCTGGCATAATACTATAATATTTTTGGAGCATAATGCCTCCGTTTCTGAAAACTGTGAGAGGTGTATGCAAATTTTGCCAGCAACTCGCTCTTAGGGACGCTCTAGAATGTACAAAGTTGATAAAAGTGGAAATATTTTAACTTGATACGTTAGACTCGTACCCAGTGCATTTTGCTATAATCCAAATTCATTGGAGAAAGACATATAGTAAGCCTTTAAATTAATTTCCGACCTTTCGCTTGCTCATCAAATGTTTAACTGAATAATTATTGTCTAACAATTCTTTCAAAAATGAAAGACTAGAATGTTTATTAATAGATACAGGCCTATGGTGGTGGTGGGGGGGGGATGGAAGTGTCATTTTGGTCCGGCATAATTTAATAATAACCTTTATTTATTACCTTTGGCGATAACAATGACGGTAATATTACAATAAAAAATTAAAAACACTACATATTATACATACATATCAAATTAAGTTAAGTTTAGCACCTCTAGGAATAAATGATTGTTTGTGCCTAACAGTGCGTGATACAGGTATTCTGAGGTACACTGGGTTAGTCTTACAAGATCTTAGATTATGGCCATGATCTACTGGCTTTTCTAAAAAACGTTTACAAGGATGTGCTTCTGATTCTAGGATACGTTTAAATTCTTTCCTCATCAAATTCTGACCCCTAGTTACAAGTGACTCAATTTGAGCATAATACCTCCAGTCAAGCATAATTTTGAGCATAATACCCTAGTTTCACGGGTGACGCCCGAAAGCATAATACTCTATTTTGCGAGCATAATCCGGCAGACCCTACTCAAGATGGCGAAGTTAAGTGTTCTTGCTGCCATTTCGCTGTGCAGTATTGTCCTTGCATCTTGTCAACGTGTTAAATATAAGGATTGTGGTAAGTGATCGGTTCGTTATAGTTATCCAGTGTTCGATTTTGTGTAGAGCGAACTTTTTTATTTGCTGCTACAAATAAAAATTGTGCTCTTTCAGGTCGGATTCGACTGGAGTTTCGCTTTTCTTGCCATTTTTGTTTTAGTATGCCAAAAAGAAACCCGACCAAAGGCTAATTAATGGAAAAAACACTATTGATACTAGTAACTTAGAATAGACAGGGGCACCCAACGAGGATATAGTTCAAAGCCACTTAACATAGCATTGTTGACCGTATTTTAGTATTTAAACGGTAGATATAGGCATATTTTTATCCCCTAAAAATTTTTCATCCGTTCGGATTTCGTAGCTGAAAGTCTAGTGATCCGAAAATTATAGGGATAAAAACTTACCTTCTCGAAAATTTCAGCCAGGAAAAGGCTCCCGAAAATTCTAGGTGGCCTTTTTTAGGGTTGAAATCCGTTAAAAATGGGTAATTATACCATTTTGTAGATGTTCGAAAATCCTAGGAGAGGCAGGCAAGCAAGAAATTTTACAACATATGTTCCGAAAATTCTAGATCTCAAATCGTCTTCCGAACAGATATTTTCGGAAAATTGTTGTTGGATGCCCCTGAATAGAGCTTGACACGGTTTTCGACCCCATCTTGACGAGTAGGCAAACGCGTGAGAAATTATAGTGTTTGTATGAGAATCCACTGTCGAATAATTTCCGTAAAACGGCTGTTCGGGAAAAAATATGAACTGTAAACTAAAGCTACACAGCAAAGGATTTTACCAACAAATTTTTGGGGCCGTTACTGTTCTTAAATCTCTCCAGAGGCTTGCTTTAGATTTCCATATACTTGTCGGGTAATTTTTACAGACAAATGTATAGAAAATTTTAAAGAAAGGTTAAAGGTCTTCTAGCGCATGAAACGCCCTCAAATTTTTTTCAGTAGAATCCTTAAGAGCGACTCTCCATAGGGACCGAGTGAGATTGAAAAAATGTGGCACAAGGTCGGAAAAATAGATCCCTTGATATTTCGTCCAGAGATAACCTATGATATGCTAAGAATCGTGATATAAGTTTTAGGTTCTAGAGTTTTAACATTTTTGAGAAAATTACGAAAAACCGTCGACAACCGGTGAAGCCGAAAAATCACAGAAAGAGGTCAAATTTCATGATCAGATAATCGAACTCGCGTGAAGGCGCATAGCAAATTATGGTTTTCCTTAGTTTATAATTTTAGTTAGGAGGTTTTGCAAAGCTGCGTTGGTGATATTTTAGACTTACAATTCTAATTCCGAATTCCTGGAGAGCAAGCGAAGAGAACCGAAATTTCTAGACTTTGAAAATCAAAAATTCCATACAAAAACAAAATTGCGCGGGCGCAACGGCCGGAAAACAAATTTCCTGCAGAGCGCAAACTTACATAAATCCCCTGCAGCATCTTAGTGACATGGATTCTAAGAAGAAAGTCTATATGACAGTGCTCCCATCACTGACGTACGCTTAGGTTAGGGCTTGGCGTGGTATTTGGGTCGTGATACTGACTTCACGGGTTGTCGACGGTTTTTCGTAATTTTCTCAAAAATGTAAAAACTCTAGAACCTAAAACTTATATCACGATTCTTAGCATATCATAGGTTATCTGTGGATGAAATATCAAGGGGTCCATTTTTCCAACCTTGTGCCGCCCCTCACGCGGTTATTAGGGAGAGTGGCTCTTAAGAGTGAAGCTTTAATTTACAGTTCATATATTTTTTAAAACAGCTGTTTTACGGAAATTATTCGACATTAGATTCTCACACAAACACAGTAATTTCTCACGGGTTTGCCTACTCGTCAAGATGGCGTCGAAAACCGTGACAAGGTCTATACTTATTTCGAACTGGAAGTTGAACAGTGCCTCCCTAAGGTGCGTGCGACTGGTCGTATTCCGGAATCTGACTCGTCCCCAGTCGTCTCTCTTGAGAATGGAGAGAAGCGCGAGGGGTGATGGGAAGGAGGAAAGGGGAAGGGAGAAACTCTCCCTTTTCCTCCTTCCCATCACCCCTCGCGCTTCTCACCTTTCTCAAGAGAGACGACTGGGGACGAGACAGTTCCGGAATCTCGACATAAGTGGCGCGAAGTTAAGGGTCATTTACAGTAATACCCAGCGGGGGTGGAGGTATTCCGGATTTCAAGTGACGTAGGGGCGGATCTAGCATAAATAATGACCGATTTCCTAAACAAGCGCCGGAGGTGCAAGCTTCTAGGAGGGTCCGGGGCATGCTCCCCCGGGAAAGTTTACGTCTTCTTTCCTTAGTTTCCGAGTCATTTAGACGGGATATGGGCCAGATTTCAAATGTACATATATTTTGGTTTGAAACACAAACGTTTCTCAAATAGAATACAGTACCTTTATATATTAGGATAGTAAAATTATAAGAATTCAAAACTGAAGCTGATGAATTTTTTTTAATTACTTCAAAAAGAAACCAGTGTAAGCAGACACTATATATACATATGTACAAAAAACATGACAAGTAAGGGTTTAAAACAGTGACACGAATGTAAACAGATGACAGACATGGAATTATATATGTAGCTGATGGCTTACCAACACAGGTTCGGTTAGATCGAATGTCATACATACATGTATACAGCATCTGTTATGAGCCATTTGTCAAAAATACTTTTTTCAAATCCTTTCCCAAAAAAATGCTCAGATTGTGAATCTCAAAAATCTACCCATCAGAGTGTGGATTTTACGGATTCATGATCCGTTTTTGGATTTGCCCTGCAAAAAAAACGCAATATTTGTTTTTGGATTCGAAAATCTGGATTTGGATTATCCCCAAAAAAACGCACCCTCTAATATCTTGATCTGAGAGGGTTTTCATCTCACAACGTTCTGTTTACACAAATGATACTGCTGACTGATTTAGGGTCTGCTCAAATTGCGTAAAGCTAAAGAAGACTACGAGAAAGACTCACATTGTTATAAATTGTGTAAAGCTAAAGTTTAAAACTAATGAGAAGGATGTACATTGTTTTAGGGAAGACTTAAACTTTTCAGTTTGCCTCTCTCTAAAAGATTAAGTACCCTGATTTTATAGGAAAACAAATGACATTACACAGTTGCTGTACATTTAACATCACCCGCTGTAGATGCATTAAATATCAAAAAGCAAAAAAAGGTAGTAGTTTTAGGTTGCATTATTTTACTTCACCAGTGTCACCAGTGGCACTTAGCAAAAAGTTGTTGTCACTTTGCAAAAATGGCTGTTATAAGGAGCAACGTTTGAGCAACTTTTTAGAAAATTCTGGCAACTTCGAGCACCTTTTAGGAAAATTTGGGGCAACTTGTGGCTGAGGCTACCCCCCCCCCGGGCAGTAATAACATGTAGAATAATAGTTTGGTTTTCACTCAAATTTCCTCTTTTGACAACCGTACATGTACACACATCATTAAAATTTATATCATTTCATGGCAAATGACTATTTTGAATGTAACCACCGCTTTGAACTGTTTGGGAGTTTAAATGTGGCTTCTTAAAAAAAAGTTAATTCAATTCCCTAGTTTGGGGCATCTTTACATCCAAGTTCCTTACCTTCAACACCAGTACTGGCTCGAGAGTAAAGAATGTTATTAATGATTTGCTGTTTTGGCAGGTTCAAAAAAATCAAAACTTGAGGAAGTTGATATTACACCATGCCCTGCATTTCCCTGTCTTCTGAAGACAGGGACCAACGTGATGGTTGAAGTAAAGTTCACTCCTAGTAAGTTAACTTTTATAATAGTCCCCCATAAGACTGTTCTTTGTGTTGCCATGGCACATACTGTTCCCGGCTTCAGAGATGCTGATCCTGAGAGGTCTAAAATCTGAAAACTCCCTCTTTCGTATCACCCACTTACAAGAGCTCATCCTCGTAAGCGACTGGCTCTACTAGTTATGACCACTTTTTCAAATTTCCGTGGTGGTCGCTTACAAGAGCTTTGACTGTGGGGTTGGTGGGTGGCTGATTGATGTTGATGGGGTTACTGCCAAAAATACAGTCCCTAGATTTTTATTCTTGATCTCCAATGGTTGGCATCTCTGTTATACATGTATGGCTAATATTAATAGCCACCCTGTTTACTAAGGCCAAATTCGTTTGTCCTGTTTGTTACCACATTAACACAGTTCCACCAGTCTATTATTTTTCATTTAATTGCAGTAGAGACCATTTCAAAAGCCACATCTGTTATTTATCTTATTATTGGTGGAGCAAAATTTGCTGGCATCACCAAAGATGCTTGCCAGGAACAAGGCCTGACCTGCCCATTAAAACCTGGAACAGACAACACATTCAAAACAGTGCTATCAGTCAAGCCTTTTTATCCAGCAGTAAGTGCATTGTCTTGATTATTGCGAAGTTCAGACTTTACTTAAGAATTAGATTGCTTTGTGCTAATGAGGACATTCATGACCAAGGAATAAGATTAATAAAGAAAGTCATCTTTAATATTCTGACTTGTGATCTGATACCTTAATTATATAGATTACCTGTGACTTATGTCAATAATGATCCTAGCAAGGATATGAGCAAATTGAACAGATTAGGAGAAACTTTTCTGTTAATGGTTACTTCTTTAAACTTGAGAGTTCCCTCAGAGAGGTGGAAAAATAAACACCTGCATTCTTTACTGTTTAGAGAAATATATATATTATATATATATATATAGAAATATATTGTTTTCATGCAAATCAAAGTACAAGTATGCACCTTAAAGATGGTGCTTGACATCCCAAACCATGTCTTTACCCTCAAGTTTGGAAAAATATTCTTTGGCACCTACAACATTTAATTAGTGCCCAAATTATGTTATCTTTTACAAACGGTAACTCTACAAATTTTCCTTACCCACCTACAGGATGCAAAGAAAGCCAATTTTACAGCTTTCCATTCAGGCAAACTGTAGCTAGCATGTACTAGCCCAAGAGTCATTTTAAGTAGCCCGCAAAAAAATTGATGAGCAGGATTGATTTAAAACCGTTAGTTCTTCTGTAATATTATTGTAATTCCCAAAAAACTTAACTTGCCAGTTGGGCTCAGTCAGTAGAGGGCATGACTGTAGAGAACGAGGTAGCAGATTCAAATCCTGAGGCCACAACCATACTCAGGGTCTTAAAGATAAGATAAGATAATCAATAACATTTTTACCACATTTTCAAGTTGCAATACACCTTTTTACCAATACAGCCGCCATATTGAATTAATTCGATTTAAGGAGTGTTATAGGATGCCCAGGGGGCATGAGCACATTTCGTTTGTATTTTCGAGCACTTTTCGGGACATTATTTCTTAAAGTTTTCTTAGAATAAGATTGTAATGGGAAAAAAGATCCTATGTGCCATGTTTGGATGTAATAATGATTGCCTTTTTCCCGAGAAATATACAGTGAAAGACCATATTTCTAATATTAACCTAGAAAAAGGCGATCATAATTATTACATCCAAACATGGCACAAGGATCTTTTTCCCATTACAATCTTATTCTAAGAAAGCTTTGCGAAAAAATGTCCCGGAAAGCGCTCGAAAATACAAACAAAATGGGCTCATGCCCCCTGGGCATCCTATAATACTCCTTAAATCGAATTAATTCAATATGGCCGCTGTATCGGTAAAAAGGTCTATTGCTTGCAACAACTGTCATTTTGGAAGGGATGAGCAGAAAATGGAAAATGGAAAAATAATAGCTTAACAATTTAAAATAATATGAGATGTAAACCATTCTTTATATCAAATTCTTTTCATTTGCTTTTTTCTGCCAGGTTAACGTTGTTGTACAAGGGGAGTTGCATGATCAAGATGATAACATGGTTTATTGCTTTCAGACTCTGGCGGCGATTATTCAATATTAAACAAATGTGTTTTAACTTCTTTTTCTTCAGGCCCACGTCAAATGTCAAACTTCACAAGCTGAACCTAATGCTAATGGGCAAAATCTATTTTTCTTGCTCATTAGAACAATTATTACATGTAGGTTCGGCTCGTGTGAAGTAATTAACATTTGACCCAGGGCCTAACCTGTGAAATGTCAGAACAAGCCTTACAGGTGCTTAAAACATCTAGAAAAATGACTCAATGTTGCTTCTATTATCTACGTATCATTTATTAAGTTAAATCTAGAATTTAATTTAATGTTAACTTTTATGTAGCCTACAGGCAAAGTCTCCATTTCGAGTGGCAAACTAAGTGAAACATGTGAGAACGCACAAGCGAGTGGTGAAGTCGTGAGGGGTGGAGGAAAAGAGAACACACAAGGAATGCAGTGTCAAAAAAAGAAACAAAAAGTGCAGAAAAAGAGCTGAATGAGGGAGGAATGGAAGACTCTCCTACTTTCCCCCTTTCATCACACTCGCATATCTTCTTATATGCCACTTGCAAACTTTCACAATATTCAAAAGTCTGTTGAGTTTGATCGTCCGGGTGAACGTAGTCCTGAATAGGACTGTTGTTGTTGACAGTGACTGACGTTTCGACAACCTGTGCAGTAGTCATCTTCAGAGTCAAAGTGAGTTGTTTCACGTCAGTTGATGGTATTATACTCTCGTTATAACATCACGGCTTAACTGACAGACGACCAATAACATCACGACGTAATTGACCAATCAGATCAATAACCAGAGCGTAATACCATCAACCGGAACGTGATACAACTCACTTTGACTCTGAAGATGACTACCGCACAGGTTGTCGAAACGTCAGTCACTGTCGACAACAACAGTCCTATTCAGGACTACATTCACCCAGACGATGAAACTCAACCTACTTTTGAAATGACTCCTGGGTTCAAACTTTTCACAGTCTCACAATATTGCCCGAATGGAAAGTTTGCTTGCAGGTTAGGAAAGATGATGAACTTTAAGGTGACAGGTATTGTTCAAAGTCCATTGTAAGCACTACTTGTATGCAAATAATAAAATTAAGCTGCTGTTTGTTGGCTAGCCCAAAATAAACCGACACTGTCCATGGTAGTGTGACAAGTGATTATGGTTTTTTGACACACTACTTTAAGTTGGTACGCCCGCTTAATACAGGCACCTCATTATTACAGACAATTTTATTGGTCCCTGGGAAAAGCCCATACATTTTCTCTTAACCCTTTAAGCCCGGATATCCACTTACAAATTCTCCAAACTGATCTCCATATATTTCCTTAAAGAATTAGATGAGAGAATTTGATAACAGATCGAAGCATTTTCTCTTTAGTGACCATTTTATTAACTCTCATAACCATTTCTCTTGGCAACATATGGACATTGTTATAAGGAGAAAATTGATGTTGGTCACTATTGGGACTCAAAGGGTTAAGGCAACCTGCTTAATACAGACACCCGTTGATGTGGACAACGGGCACTTGTTTCTTGCCCAATCAACAGATTCTCATAGAAAGTCAACCTCGCTAATGCATACACTTCATTAAGTGCTACTTGCTGTAACAGACCTTTCCTTTTTGAAGGTAAAAAGCCTTGAATTGACAGCGTGTCAATGTTCTTAGCGCTACAGTACACTGCATAGGATGATTTGTGGACATCAAATATTTCAAACTATTTTTGCATCAAATGAGTTATGCAGAGACTGTACAGTGTTGATTAAGTAATGTATGGATGAGCGATTTTTGATTATTAGTTTTTTATTCTAATAATATTGAAGGTGTTTTTCAGCTTTAATAACATGACCCACTTAATACAGACACTTTCTATGGCCCCTTCAGGGTCCATATTAACCCTTTAAGTCCCAATAGAGACCAACAGCAATTTTCTCCTAACAATGTCCATTCATTGTCATAAGAGATAAGGTTGTGAGAATATAAAAAATGATCACGAAAGAGAAAATGCCTTGATGTTTTATTAAATTCTCTCAACTAATTCTTAACGGAAATGTATCGAGATTAGTTTGGAGAATTTGTATGTGGATATTGGCGCTTGAAGGGTTAATGGTGGTTTGACTTAATACCTTGCTGTATATGGATTCAGAATAAAGGTCCCTCAGGGGGGTTTGTTCTTTTTTTTACAAGCCATCAAAATAGCAGTGCCTTAGGCAACAAGCAAGCCTTTTGACCATTCTTTTAAAATGGCAGGAAAAACTAATGAGTAATTCTAAATTCCCCCATGAAATTCATCCATCCTTGTAGGCAGCATTGCTTGTGGTGGATAAGCAGGGGTCACCAATACAGAATTTTCACAAAGTTTGCAAATCCAATGACCTTAAAGAGAAGAGAAGAAACTGTTTAGAATAAAAGAGAATTAAAAAATAAGTAATTTGTTCTTGTCAATGAACAGCGACATGTACATTCTGACAAGTCCTGTCCAAGTGTTCCCAAGAGATCAGAGAGGGGTGCAGCAAACATTTTAAATGCAACTAGTAAAAATATGATACCAGGGTAATGCAAGGTAACCTAAGATCAAAATTTAAATTCTACTTTGTTGCCCTATTCAAACTACCTACAGACAGAGTGACCAAAATCGAATTACATGATGACGTAACAAAAGGGCTGCAATATCAAAAATTGATGCTGATATGGTTAAAAAGCTGAAAAACTGACACTGAACTGTGCGCATATGTACAACTTTAGGTGAACTGCAAGGGTATGTGTACAAAAAATATTTTTAAAAAAATGACCATTTCTTGTCCTTCACTTTATCCGATTATTAAAGTCGCAAAAAATTATGGGTAGGGTGAGGATTGGCACATAGTGGGAACAGTCACTAGCCGGTTTTTGTAGCAATGTCAACTTGCGTGATCAGCTCCTAAATTATCGTGACCACCTTGTTTTAAAGAACTTTGATATTAAAAGGAGATATTTGATTCGGTGACTCTTAGGGCTTTTTACAAAGGTTAAGAACCAGTCTCTACCTTCTGGTGGTTTCACCATGGGTGGCTTCAGGCAATACATGTGATACCCTCTGTCACAGTCATCACAAAACAGCAACTGGTCCTAAGGCAAAAGAACACAACATCTATCAGCAAGAGTGGTAATTGGCATACACTCAACTCCTCCTACAGTGTAAGATGAACATTTTTGGGACCAAAACTACAAGTCCTTCTTATAGGGAGTCGACTAAAAGGGGTAAAGTAAGACACTGGGACTAACTCTTGGTGTCCCGAGAGTGGGACACAGGGATACTGCCATCTGCTGTATGTGGGACATATAGGTATGTGCTTCTATGTAGGGTATGGTATCAAGCCATTTAGCCTTGGATAGGGTATAAAAATCAAAGAGTTTGGGCAAAGAAAACCTGGGTATCATATATAATCAAGATAAGATGACTTCAGAAACTTACATCATTGTCCGAAGTTCCACAGAGAGTACAGGACTTGCATTCGATGCACTGCCATTTGTATTTTTTGACACTTTCTGTTAACTTGCCAGTAAACTGAAGACATGTAGGGTGACCTGCAAGAATAATATCATCATGTTAATTTGATGATTTGACAATAATTCTTGCTAAGTGAGGGCCATAAGGAAGGGAAAAATGGCTTGAGTCTATTAATAGAAATTTACACGCTTAGTTATTCAATGGCATCGTGGGCTAGTGGTCTGGAAGCTGGCTTCTCCATGATATAATGGCTACACCTTGCTCAAAGGCAGGCAGCAGCCACAAAAATGAAAGCTACATATATGACACCACAAAGTGACATCTACCTGATCTTCCACAGTCAGCACAAGACAACAGCTCCTCAGGCTGTCCAGTTTTCTTGTTCTCGTACACATCTCCCAAACAAAAGTCACAGTAGTTGTTTGGTGACACAGCTGCCCCTGGTATCTTCTTGGGACGTCCCGGTCCCCTTGGCTGTGGTGAAGGTACTTTTGGTGACTCAGCAGGGGCGCTGGGTGCTGGAGTTGAGGGGTGAGATATGGCTGGCTCCTCATGGTGTACAGTGCTTGTCTCCTGCTCATGGTTATAGTGTGTGTAGTGGTACTTTAGGCCAGGGCCATTCTTGTAACGTCTTCCACAAACTAACAGTATGAGATGTCAAATAAAACATAACACTCTAACACTCTTACAGCCATATTTATCGTCAAATATGTCTAGTGTTTAATTCTTTGCTTAGTTTTGCACATTCTTTTCACATTCTTTTCAGTTATCGCAGCTCATATGCAGTTACATTTCTTTGCATCATTTTCTTTGTTTTTAGATCATTTTGTAAGTTTCATCTTTTGTTTTAGATTCATTTCGCTCTAGTTCACAGCAGTATCACTCATTCAATTCATTTGCTGTAGTACCTTTTTCCATTTACTTTGCTCCAAGTCATACAACATTTGTAAGTAGTTTTGCTTGGTTTGTTTCCTTTTCTGTATTTCCTGTTTTATAGCTGTCATTTGTATCCTTTAGTAACTTGTAATAATCACAAGTTACTAAAGGATACAAATGTTGTTTTTAGCAACCGTAATCATAATTAATTATAACAGCAATAAGAGGAGTTGGAACCGTGGACTATTTGCTACAATAGTTATGAACTGCATCGCTTTGTTCCCTCATAGTGGGCAGAAGTAATAATGATGATGATGATGATGACGATGATGGTGATGATGATTGAAGGGGTGCCTTAAATAAAGCTTTAAGAGACTTCTGATAAACTACTTTAATGCAGATTCTCCTTTCAATTTGCTTTGAATATCATATAAATATGAGAGAGAATTTCATATTTGATCAGGATCCACATGAGATCTTATTCCAACCCTTTGATTTACAAATACATGTAGAGTGACTAAGGTTTCATAAAAGGTGAAAAATCCATCAACTCCTAAGCAATACTTGTATTTGTATAGGGTGCATACAGAGTATTTTTCATTTTAAATTCAAAGTGGTAAGAAATGAGCATGTTCCTTGCACTTACTTTCACATGCATATGGTTTTTTCCTTTCTTCAGGATCCATTCTAGCTAATTCTTCCTTAGAAATATTCCTCACTTGCAGTACACCAGGGATTGGGGCAATGGCTTTCTACAAAGAACACAAATCACTCAAAAACCAATGGATTGCATTAATTTATTATCATTACACCCCATAACTCTCCTATTGATTAAAGAAACAATAAAATCTTTGTGGAGTGAAAATGATAATCTACTTTTTAATCCAAGTATCATAAAATTCCGAAAATAAGCCCCTCCATGTATAAGCCCCTCCAAATATAAGCCCCCTAAACCGGTAACGCAAAAAAACCCTCCATTAAATTGTCCCTCCTTGCTTGTACTTGGGAAATTGCCCTCAAATACAAAGTAAAACAAAACAAAAATGGTAAATTTACTTCCAACTATAAGGCGAGCCCAATCGATTTTGAAACGCAAATTTCCCTCTGTAGATAGTAAGCCCCTCCGAATATAAGCCCCTCCAAAAAGAAGCCCCTCAAAAAGGGCTTTTAAAAATATAAGCCCCAGGGCTTATTTTCGGAATTTTACAGTAATTTGAGAATTGTGGCATCTGACCTATTACATGTAATGGCAACCCTACCATCCTGATAAATCATCAAATATCCCTGCAATCTCATTATTTCTCAGCCAACTTAAATGTATGAAATGACCCCTGCATTCTAACCTTTCACAATAGTATAAAATACTACTTGTTCAACAAAAAAATACTAAACAGTATTAATTTTTCTTACTGGTACATGAACTTGACCTTCTGGGAATGTCGCAGCTTGGTGGGTTTTCCTACCACGTGGACGGCCCTTGCTAATGGGCTTCTTTTTGGCGAGTGATCCTGTTTGTCAAGATTAAATAACACAAGTACTCAGATAAGATGTGAGTAGGTGATTGATAAGGCAAATTTTAACAGACTCTAGTGATTTTACTAAGCTTGACATGATGCATGTCTCTAGCAACCTTGGTGTAGTTTTCAATTTGCCCCAATTTCCTTGCAGTTTTTACCCCAACCTATTTTTTCCTAAGAAATGAAGACCCCCAGAACTGACATGTTACATTATTTTAGCAACAATAAAATCTTCGTCATCAGAGGACAATGCACCACCTTGTTTGTGTCTCAGATGGTGTGAGTGTGGTTTTCATTTGGCCCCAATTTCCCTCACAGTATTCAAACCAAAATTTGTTTTTGTCTAAAAAAACAAGACCCACAGAATCATACAGAGAGTACTGTATTTTAAGTGGTTTTTTTTTTTTCATGGAGGCAGCATGATTAGGCATTTAGAGCTGTGCACTTGCAATCCAAAGGCCCCAACTTCAAGTCCCAACACCCAGACAACTACATGTAGCTGGATTGTTCTTTCAAATCCACAGTCAGGCTTGTGAATAACCAATAATTATTGGTTCACCTCCTACCAGTAATGTTGTTGTGATTCTTAACCATGTTATATTTCACTGAATTATTTATATCATTATCCTTGAAAATCCCCATAAGGGGAGGGGATGATATTAAGTATTATAACTATTGTTATATCATTATTGTTATTATTAGAGGTTTTTAATAATTAGCTTTGTTATCAATAAAATAAAAGATTATTATTATCATTATTATTATTATAATCAAAACTATAACAAAATCCTCAAATCTGATTGGCTATCAACAGCCCTAATTTCAGCCTTAATAGGACAGTTTAATTGGACAGTACGTGTCATGCCTAAGTAATCGGACAGTATGCGCCAACATGCACACGCTTAAATGGCTTTTTTTCACTGCTGGCCAAAAAAAAGAGCTTTTGGAATTTCTTGTGTTTTTGATTTGAAAAAAGAGCCTTATATATGACAAATTTTTTTAAAGTTATGATTAATTGATAACAGAACTTCGTGTCATCCAATTCAGTCTGTAATCATTCTCGTGATTAAACAAATCAGACTCCCCAGTTAATCACTCGTATTATTATTATTATTATTATTATTAATATATTATTATTATTATTATCATCATCATTATTATTATTTCTATTTACCAACAATAAAATCTTCATCATCAGAGGACAATGTACCACCATCATCCTGCACATCTTCCTCATCTTCACTGTCTACAGTTCTCACTGCCTCCTCTACAGCAGTTTCCTTGGTGAGGTCCACCTCTGATTCCTCAGCAAAGACTCCTTCTGTGTCCATGACTTCCATAGTGCTTGTATTTTGCTCTAGGAAAAAAAAAAACAAAAGCTTACAAGGTACACTAATGCATTGACAAAGATTATTGTTACACCTCTCCACAACAGCAACCTGGGGATAAAAGGAAAACGGTGTGTCGAAGGGTAGCCATAATGGGGAGGTAGGGATGTGACACAATGGTGGATTTGTGTGCCCACATAGTGGTAACTAAACGGCCTGGCGCATAGAAGGTCCCGAATTCGATTCTGGGCGGGAGCTGTTTCTCATTTTGATGTTTATGTTGTGGTTCAATTTTATCCTTGTTTTAATTTTTATTTTCTTTTGTTTTTAGGTATGGTAATGTAGGTAATGAGTTTGAAACAAAAGAAAATAAAAATTAAACCAAGGATACAATCGAACCACAACATTAATGATTTTATTTAGTGTCCCCAGTTAGCTTTCCTAGCTAAAAACTGTCCAAGATTGTAGATCTACCACTGTTGTACATGAACGATGCCATTTTTTAAGGGGGGAGAATTGTTTTGAAAAATACTTACTATACTATTATGACTACCAGACACAATCATGATACAATGCTAAACATATAAGTTTTATTGGTTTATACACCGCTAGAAGCTGATTTTTAGAGTAAGGGTAATTGGCTCCCTTTTTCATTTTTATATTTTGCTTTGGGTGATGTACATGTTGTAACCTTGGTTATTGACGTCTGCAAAGCAGCCCCAGGATCATTGTTCTGGGTCCCCGATGAACTACTGGAAGAGCATTTCTTTCTCTTTCCAAATGTCCTGTCAACCTGATTAGCAAACTGTCCAACCATGGCACCTACTCAAATCCTATTATTCAGCTGGGATTTCTGTGCTGGTTTGCAGACAGACTTAATCAGAAGTTTATTTTCATCAGTTGAGCAGGCTGTAGCCTAGTTCTCATATGCCGCCGAACTACCTGCAACATACAGTAGCTGTAGCTGCTGGTACTGCCTGTGATACTGTTCCAATATGAGAACAGAAGTCACCGTGGCCGTGTCAGTCTTTAGCGCCTGCTTGCCTGCGAAGTTTACTCAAGCTTGACTTCACAGGCACACAAGCAACGTTTCTTGTTGCTGGTGGCGTTATGTCCACATAAACCGGAGTAGTATTGTAGGCAGTACCTGCGGCTACATCGTGGGTACTTCACTGGCATATGAGAACCAGGTTTAACAGACACCTTGCTAACACAGACACCCAGAGTTGATTCCTACCAGTTTAACTCATTTTAGTCAAGTCTCTGTAAGACAGACATCTCTCGATGGCTAACTCAAAGCGCCAGCCCTTAAGGTCTCCGTTTAAGAGAGAGAGAGTTGGCTATCCCTTCCCCTCCCCTGACAACACCTTAACGACTTACCCCCCGTTTCCGCAACTTTGACCTCGCTTGCGCGTTCAACAGGAGTGGGTCGTTTTTTCTTTCGCCATCTCTTTGCCGGGTAGCTGTAAATGTACTGAGGTGTCTTTCCAGGCCGGCGTTCTAGTTTACTAATCCATAAGTTGCAATTGTTCATAGCGATTCCCGTTTGAGCATCGATAAAGGGAATGCGAAGCCGCCGTTCAAAACGAAGCCGGGAGTTGTAGGCCGACACATTTTCCAGAGCATCTTTATATAGTTCCCTTGAAAAAGAAACACCAAATATTCCTCAGAAAAATCCTTCACGCTTGAAGCAAATACCATGTAGGTAATATGAGAGCAATAAGACAAAAAAAAAACAAAATACAAACTGAGGATCTCTTGGTTCGCGATGCACCACTCGCGTCGCCATCTTTTTTGTCTCCTTTTGTTAGCTTAGTAGCCTGGTGAATTGGACGAGGAACTTCGGGAACTTGACTTTATCCCGTCCCGATTACCCTGGATATGACAGGAGTAGCGAGGAGTGGGATGTGAATGATAAAGGTCCTGAAGCTCAAAGAAGCGGTAAAGCCAAGAAGATATAGTGCCTAAATATCTTTCTGTCCAGATAAGGAGTTTGGAATTTGAACATTCCGCGGTTCGGTAACGATCAGGCAAGGGTTGTCTGGTTTCTTGTAAACTTTGCAACGATTTCGCCCTTGTTTTATAGATTACTGCCCCTGATCGGCCAGCAAAAACTCAGAAAAACTGAATAAACTCAAGATGTATAACAGTTTGGTGGACGTATGTTGAACATTTATGTACATTCAAGCTGATTATATTTGTTCAGTTCCGCCTCGCCTAGTAATCAAAAGTTCTTTCCCGTTGGAGGGGGGCATAAGCTTGCGGTTTTCGGCTCGATTTTTGGTGCGGTTTTGCGGGAATTTTTATTTTAAGTTGCAGTATTGTGATTTTACACCAAGCGGATTGCAGTATGTTGTCAATAATTCTCTCATTGGTTCAACCATACAAAATCCAATCTCTTCCGGCGGTTAGAAGAAACGTGCGCCATGCAGACAAGATAATAGCCTTCGTAGCAAGCGTTTCTGTGCGGTTCAGGAGCAAAGAATGAGGAACAAGAGTCATTTCTCGCGCTGTCAAAACCGAAAAAAATCCCTTTCCACTGTCTTTTTTTACTCCGAAACCAAACGGAAACGCTTGCTTCGCTACCCTGGGTTTCAGAGGATATTTTTTTCTTATCGATACTGATGGTTCGCGGCGAAGCCGCCTTAACGAGGCGCAAATCGCCGAGGAGAAAAAAATTATTATTATAATTATGTTTTTCTGATTTCGTTAGACGTGACCACTAGGTTTTTGCCTCGCGCCGGGCGCAGCCCGGGTCCAGGCGAAAAACTTGTTGTTGTTGTTGTTGGATAGCCCAGGGACTGCCCTAACAGTGGGTGGGTGGATAAGACCCTGGGGTCAAAACTAGTGGGGTAGGGTGGGGGCTGCTTTGACAAAGCCCCTTCAAAAAGCAGCAGTGTTCAGTGGAGGCTTTGACTAGAGAGTACCTTGGTCTTAATTTGCCGTAGCCAGCTGAATCAGGCCTTTGCTGAGAATGATTATCATGATAAATGCAGAGCTCAGTGGGAGGTGCAGACAGTCACCCATTGTCCTGGGTGGGGAGGGTCAAAGTCTTGGTACCAAGGATACACTTAGCATAGGATCTTTAGCAGTTGTTTAGACACTTGTTTATGAGGGCCACAAGTTTATTAGCCTTTGGCTATTAGGTGCTACCCTCTTCAAATAAAGGCTTTACTTACTTACTTACTCACTGGAGCCATGTTTTCATAAATCCAGAAAGATATATCTATCACGTTTTAGAACAACAGTAAGTAACGCAACAAAACACATCGTTTCAATTCGTTTTCTATTAGCTTTATATCCGTCTCATCAGAATATTTCTTTAAAAAATATTGAAGTAGAGACTCTTTTCAACACTTTTTGATCGAGCCTGAACATACGTGATATGATTCTGTAAGGAAGCACTCGACTGATTCACTAGACAATTACTAGTTTAGATTAAAAACTACTTGCGTTTTAGACATGAACCTCTTCAAATCTCACATATCGCATTTTTTTTTAAAAAAAAAAAAGTCACGTTAACCTTCATTATTTCAAACAGGAAAAATAATATGTACATTTTTGAAATCATGAAAGTTCTTAAACTCCCTCGCTTATCTTTTGAAAATCTTTTTTTACTGCAAAAAAAACAAACAAACAAAACAAAAAGGCCTACTTAATGTCGTCTGATAGGTAATTGTGTTCATGGAAATTTTTTTCAATAAGCAGTTAAGGTTGATTACATCTGCTATTTGATAATTAAACACGCTGGCTCCAACAGTTCAGTCGGGCCACAGAGGCCGATTAAAATGTAAGCAAGTGTGACCGATGGCTTGCAATGGCGAAGAATTTGCGAATCATAAATGTGGCATATATAAGATTTGAGTTTTTAAACGTGTGCAGGGATGGCAATTTTCATCGGCTATACTGAATTCGGTGCTGTTTCGAAATGTAGATTTACGAAGCAAATTTCAAACAAGTAATTTACAAAGACAGGTACTGCTTATCGGCAATGGCGCGCGATTAATTTCGTGTAGGTATAAAATGACTCTCGACACTCTCCTTTCATCAAAACGTTTAAAAACTAAAAACATATCTTCTAGCCACAGAAAAACTCATTCCAGGCAAACATTTGAGCAAAAGGCTTTAAATTGCGTGTTCAAACCTTGCATCGAGAATTTGAACAATCTAACGACTGTTCAGTGTGTCATATATCTGTTTGAGGAAGCAAACATTGCCTGGAAATTTCTATAGCTCGAGAAAGGTTAAAATTTTCTTAATTAACTTTTCAGTCCATTACCTAACATTTCTTAATTTTCCTTTTTAACGTCCACACAACTTCCGCAAAATGGGTTTATTCAAATTTGACTCCCCATACTTGGCTTCGAAAAACAGGCTCCCTAAAATTTTCTGTTCTAAAGATCTGACGGAGAGAGGTATGAGAATAAGATTTTCGGGAAGGTTCTAAGAAAGCCCTAGAGCCCTAAACTGAAAGAATTGGAAAAGGCTTTAGTTGAACGTTCAGGTTCGTAGAAAAGCCGTCGTTGTGAGCCTCTGATGCCAGACCATTTCTTGCCATAATTATTTGTTGAATACTGTTCCTTATCTCATTTCTTTATCTTTCTTGAAAGCAATTTCATTCACTTTGTCGTGGGAGTCTATATTACAAAAAATAAACGTGCTAAACTGAGAAGTTACCAGATTATTTTGAGGACAGTAATATTGCCGGACGGACGGCTACATACACACAGTCAATATCAATTATTGTTTGATAAGGTTTTTTTAAAACTAGTGTGTTTCCCTACTCCTCCAATATAAAAACCTAACTGCATGCTTGTTCGATATAGTCACAATCCAGGTTCTTTTTTGGAGCGGGTTTTTAATATAAGTCGCACCCTTTGAACCAGTGTGGTCTCGAAGAATATATTCTTGGGTACTTCAGGTATTTCGACACTGACCATCCAATACATGGTCGACTTATTTTGTAGCCTCAAATACTTGAGCTATCTGGAGACATTTGAAGTTCAGTAACAACTTGATTTTCCTACAAACCATTTCATTTAACGTACTATTAACGATAAAGTTTATTTTCTTGTTTACTCAGTTTGAATATTTTAAGAATGGGTGGGCTATATTGGCTATATACGCTTGTTAATTAGCATGTGGACTCAGGCGGCCCAAAAATACACGTCCATTAGTACACTTTTTACCAACTGCTAACAATTAGATTTGGGAAAAGGTATCGCTACATACTATGAGCAGGTTATGGGGTAGAAGGTTTCCGTGAAACGACGTAATATGCAGACTCTTTTCGTTGGCTTGAATATTGTTGAGAAAATAGTTCTAAATTCGTATTTTTAAATCGCAGCATATAACGACATCATTTCTTCTGTAATCCAGCTCTACAGAACTCGAAAAGTTTTTTTTTTTAATCAAGCTTCTTTTTTACCGCCAACGTTTTTCTAAAATGTAAGTTATTCCTTACAATTACTTTAAAATATGTTAAGTTCATATCACGAAAGCATTTTTTGTTGTTAACGGATATTGTTAGGATGTTGCGACGCGACGGGCAAGCAAAACAAACTAGCGCACAAACAGGTGCATTTGTAACGTCAGTTGATATCATCGGTATATTTGTTATTTATAATAACATAACTGCACGCAAAATCGTACAAAAGTTGAATCCCAGATCAGAAAAATAAAGAAATTACAGAACGTTTTGTGGCGACTTTTTTGTTTAATAACCGCAACTTACAATTCGCTATAATATCTGTCATCCCGGTTATATTGAACACAAGTGCTTTGTCATGCTTCCCTGAGGCTTCTTCGATTACCAAAGAGTTCGATCTCCATTGTTCTTACAAACAAAGAAACTATTACGTATACTTGCTTCAAATTCCTCATACGAAAAAAGTTACTTCGTAACAAAATGAAGAATTAAGGTTTGGAAAAAAATTCAAGGATCTTTCAACAGTGCGAAAAAGTTCATAGAGGTTAGATAAGATGTAAAGGAAAAAAGCATTTTGGTCGTGGACAAAGATTTCTTGAAGAATTTTGTGGCCAAGTAGGCTAACTAAGCTGGTACACCAAGCATGACAAGGCATCTTAGGTGCGTCAGCAAAAATTGTAGAACAATATAACAATGCAAGATGACATTTCTTAAACGAATGAGTTAGGGAGCGCCCTCTCACATCAGTGAAGGTTTTCAAAGTGAAGATCTGGTGAGGTCCGGCGACGGTGATCATCAACATGGCGGGGACAGTTTTCTTTGTCGCCCTTTGCGGCTTTTTGTCAGTAGCGTATTCGGCTGCTCCATACAAATGTGCAGGTGTAGCCACGTACCACTTGGCATTTTATGGCAACTGGAGTATGATGACTCATCCCTATGCTTGGCCATTAGGCGGCAGATTTTCTAATTTGGTTGGTGCCTCGCACGGAGATAACTACACTATTTGGGATGGGGGAATGATGGCCTCTCCAGGGGTTAAAGATGTTGCTGAAGAAGGTGAATAGCTCGCTTTTTTAATGTTACATTTCATTGAGCTTAAAGATGAAATTAAAACAAGATTTGCAATAATGGAGGACAAAACTTTGGCTGAAAAATAGAAGCCTCCTAGTTAAGCGATACTGGCTTAAAACAAACCCCCCGTTAGACTTTCAAAAAAGTCCTTCGTCCGATTTAATATGGCGCAGGACCTCTCGCTTGCGCGGCCTATAACTCGCTAAGAAACTCGTGAGGTCGACTTGTAGCAAGTCTAACCCGCCGTATGTCACCTTATAAAATTTGGCGCTTGGTAAGCGGTTTATGATTTTGTTAACTTCAAAATAAAGAGAAGCTTAGCGAACTGTTTGAAAATACTCAGCGCTAAGTCCGTTTATAACTTTCCAGTTTAGGAATTTTATCGAGTGAAAATTTAAAAGTTACCCAATACTTCTTGCACTCTCCAGGGGCACCCAACGAGAATATAGTTCAAAACCACTTAAACATAGCATTGTTAAACGTATTTTAGTATTTAAACGGTAGATAAAGGCATATTTTTTTACCCTAAAAATTTTTATCTGTTCGGATTTCGTAGCTGAAAGTCTAGTGATCCGAAAATTATAGGGATCAAAACTTACCGTTTAGAAAATTTCAGCCAGAAAAAAGGCTCCTGAAAATTCTAGGTGACCATTTTAGGGTAAAAATCCTTTAAAAATGGGCAATTATACCATTTTTTAGATGTTCGATAATCGTAGGAGAGGCAGGCAAGCAAGAAATTTTACAACAAATGTTCCGAAAATTCTAGATCTCAAATTGTCTTCCGAACAGATATTTTCCGAAAATTGACGTTGGGCGCCCCAGTGACTGTCCAGAGCAAAAAAAAAAGTCATTAGCACAGAAGGTAAAAGGGTTAACCCTCAACCGTCAAACGGCAACATTCCGTCAACCGTCAAACGAAGTGGTAATTGTTAGTCCAAAGTCCTTTCTGTTAATTAGTCCACAATTTCAAACCAAACAATGGGCTCCTCTTGCGTTTAACCTGCCCAAGTACTTTCTTAACAGCTGTCATCTTTTTAGACGAACTTCGTATACTATAACCATTTATTCTTTCGCTTTCACCGGAATAAGTATACGACTTCGTTTTTGCATATAGGTGTGTTGAGCCAATCACAAATGTAGAAATATTTTTGAATGGATAATGACATTTATTATCCCGTTTTTCCTCAGGTAATTCATCAACACTGGAGGCGGAAATAATGCAGCGAATCATGTACAACAAGACGGCCTGGAAGTTAATCAAGTCTATGGATGGAATTGCAGGCACAGGTAGCGAGATGAATATCGACGTCGAAGTCACACAGGACTTTCCTTTGGTATCTATTGTCACCATGCTTGCGCCATCACCTGATTGGTTCACTGGAATTAAGAAGGTATCCCTTTGTGACACCTCGAGCGGAATGTGGATGGACAGTCACACAATTTATAATCTACAACCCTGGGATGCTGGCACCGACAACGGGACAACTTTCATGGCTGCGAATAATCCGACTATGCCTCCCGGTTATATCAGCATGATCAATAAACTTGCACCACCAACAGATTTTATGAATCTTTCCGCGTCAGCAATACCAACACTGGGTAAGATGATGTTCGTGAGACAAAACAAACCAACCATGAATCAATGCAGTGGCATGTACTATTACACAGTCAAGTTTGAGGCGAAGTGGTCACAGGCTACACACCCCAATGGATGGCCGACTGGAGCCAAGTTCTCCCCTCTCGTCATTGCTACTCACTCGTACAAATACAAAATGTGGAGTGATATGACCAGAGCCTCACCGGGTGTCAAGAAAGTTGCGGAAACAGGTGCGTCAATTTTTAAGAGTTTCTTACTAGTAAGATTTCTCTAAGTGATTACACTGATGGGTATGCGGAGGGAAAAAAATTACAGCGGGAAAATTAGACAAACTTAAGCCTCTAACAGAATTTTTCATAACCGGGACCAAGGTTACTTGCTAAAGGCCTATTATTCCAACTAGAACGCTCTTTCAATGAATCCGTGTGGCAAAAATCTCACCTAATTGTCAGATTGACTTATTGACTGACTATCATGAATCACTGAGCTCATGATTATGAATAATAATATATTTCTTTATATAGCGCTAAATAGATAGAGGATATTACACGGTTGCGCAAAGATATGAATTTTATTTTCGAGTGGCAAACCAATCTGTTGTCACGAACGAGCGCAGCGGGTGAGTAAAATAGTGTTTTTGCCACGAGAAAATAAAATTTGTATCTTCAAGCCGCCGTGTAATGTTCTTTTTATTATATAGACAAAAAGACATCGATAAAATAATAGATTTTTATTCGGTAACGGTAATTGTGACGGCTCACATTTACGGTACAGCAATATAAGACATCGTTTACAATAATCTTGAGAAATAACACTGAGCTGAATAGGGCTCTACATTGACAAAGTATAAGCAAAGCTTTGAGAAAAGTGTAATTAAAATTCAAAGGACGCAAGACGCCTACAAGTTTTGGAGGGAAATCACCGAAATTACGTCATCGATAAACTGACGTGTGAGATTATGGAAGATGAACCACTCCGGTCCCGGATGTAGTTTTCATGAATTTTACGAGTGGTATATTTTTCAGTAAAACACTCGTGTCTATATAATAAATATGCATATCTAAAGCGCTAATAAAAGCTGAGACAAACATTAACACATAAAAAAACATGACACTTGGAAAAAATGAAAATAAAAAACCACAAAAATCACTGTACAAGAATTGGCAATGTTTATTTGTAAATAAAGTTGGTGATACAAAACACCATTCCAATGCTATGGCAGTTATATTTTCGGTCCTTTTCACTTTTTTGTCTGTTTGTTGTCTTTTTGTTATGGACTGATCTAAAGAGACTTGACTGACTACACCCTTGCCCACCCTCCACCCCCAATTCACCCGTGTACTTTGCCTTTGCCTCACTTTTTAATATCAAATTTGCTTTTATTTTCCTTTTACAGGAATGGAAGGAACATTGTATAACGAAGTTATGATGATGGAAAAGCCCGGGTTTGTCTCCAATGTCTATACAACCGGGGCAGTAAGCACTCCAAATGGCTACAATAGCACAAAAATCATGGTACAAAACATGTACTCCATGGTCTCTCTAATCAGCATGATCGCACCTTCACCTGATTGGTTCGTTGGAGTTGACAGCTATGATCTCTGTGGAACGAATGGATGGAAAGAAATGATGATAATGAACCTTCTTCCGTGGGATGCTGGGACGGATAGTGGGCGAAACTTTACATCAGAAAACATGGAGACTAACCCTGTTGACGTCATCAAGCGTATCACTTCAAGTAGTGATACCCAGATGGGCGCAGATGCCGATAAAGTCTTTGCTACAGTCACTTTCACGCGCGAAGAAATGATAACAACAACGACACAAGCAACAACTACAGCTAGTGCCCCAGGCTTGTCGGCAGGCCTTTTTGCCTTCCTGTCCGTCTCGTTGCTTGCAATCATGGGCGTGCTGTTCTAGAGTAATGCACTGGAGCTAGAGCGGTGAAACCAATACGTTTTGTCATTTTCGAACATTTTCCTCTGGTACGTGGTCGATGACATTTTAAAGACACAGTCTTCTCTGGTCAAAGACCATTTTTTAACTAATTCTCGGTCAAATTAGACCTTTTTCCGTGAAGAAAGTTTAAAGTTGACCAAGGCACCTTCCGCACAGACTAGTATCTTGGCTAGTGCATGTTCCATAATGGTTATTGATTTAATTGTTGGACAGTTCTTACAGATTTCACA